ATAAATGAAAGAGGGGAAGGTACCAAGGGATTGGCACAGAGTGTGTAGTCTCTTTATATAAAGGGAAGGGGGACAAAAGAGATTGTAAAAATTATAGAGGAATAAGTTTACTGAGTATACCAGGAAAAGTGTACTGTAGGGTTATTATTGAAAGAATTAGAAGTAAGACAGAATGTAGAATTGCGGATGAGCAAGGAGGTTTTAGAGTGAGTAGGGGATGTGTGGATCAAGTGTTTACATTGAAGCATATATGTGAACAGTATTTAGATAAAGGTAGGAAGGTTTTTATTGCATTTATGGATTTAGAAAAGGCATATGATAGAGTGGATAGGAGAGCAATGTGGCAGATGTTGCAAGTATGTATATGGAATAGTTGGTAAGTTACTAAATGCTGTGAAGAGTTTTTATGAGGATAGTGAGGCTCAGGTTAGGATGTGTAGAAGAGAGGGAGACTACTTCCCGGCAAAAGTAGGTCTTAGACAGGGATGTGTAATGTCACCATGGTTGTTTCATGTATATTTATAGATGGGGTCGTAAAAGAAGTAAATGCTAGGGTGTTCGGGAGAGGGGTGGGATTAAATTTTGGGGAATCAAATACAAAATGGGAAGTGACACAGTTACTTTTTGCTGATGATACTGTGCTTATGGGAGATTCTAAAGAAAAATTGCGAAGGTTAGTGAATGAATTTGGGAGTTTGTGTGAAGGTAGAAAGTTGAGAGTGAACATAGAAAAGAGTAAGGTGATGAGGGTATCAAATGAGTTAGATAAAGAAAAATTAGATATCAAATTGGGGAGGAGGAGTACAGAAGAAGTGAATGTTTTCAAATATTTGGGAGTTGACGTGTCAGAGGATGGATTTACGAAGGATAAGGTTAATCATAGAATTGATGAGGGAAAAAGGGTGAGTGGTGCGTTGAGGTATATGTGGAGACAAAAAATGTTACCTATGGAGGCAAAGAAGGGAATGTATGAAAGTATAGTAGTACCAACACTCTTATATGGGTGTGAAGCTTGGGTTGTAAATTCTGCAGTGAGGAGGCGTTTGGAGGCAGTGGAGGCAGAAAATTCGGAGTGTGGAAATTAGGAGAAGGTGTGGCGTTAATAAAAGTATTAGTCAGAGGGCTGAAGAGGGGTTGTTGAGGTGGTTTGGTCATTAAGAGAGAATGGATCAAAGTAGAATGACATGGAGACTGTATAAATCTGTAGGAGAAGGAAGGCGGGGTAGGGGTTGTCCTCAAAAAGGTTGGAGGGAGGGGGTAAAGGAGGTTTTGTGGGCGAGTGGCTTTGACTTCCAGCAAGCATGTGTGAGTGTGTTAGATAGGAATGAATGGAGACGAATGGTATTTGGGACCTGATGAGCTGTTGGAGTGTGAGCAGGGAAACCGGTTATTTTATATAGCTGGACTTGACTCTTGGAAATGGGAAGTACAATGCCTGCACTTTAAAGGAGGGGTTTAGGATATTGGCAGTTTGGAGGGATATGTTGTGTATCTTTGTACATATATGCTTCTAAACTGTTGTATTCTGAGCACCTCTGCAAAAACAGTGATTATGTGTGGTGAAAGTGTTGAATGATGATGAAAGTATTTTCTTTTTGGGGATTTTATTTCTCTTTGGGTCACCCTACCTCGGTGGGAAACGGCCGACTTGTTAAAAAAAAAATGCATACATATGCACACATGCATACATGCATACATGCATACATACATACATACATACATACATACATACATACATACATACATACATACATACATACATACATACATACATACATACTCACCATGGTAGATTAGGCTAACCTAACCTTAATTAACCTTTATTTACATATACTGGTATTTAACCCTTTGACTGTTTACGCCGTATAAATACGTCTTACGAGCCAATGTTTCTGACGTATTTATGCGCACAAATTCTAGCGGCTTCAAATCAAGCGGGAAAGGCCTGGTAGGCCTACAAGAGAGAGAATGGGTCTCACTGGTCGGTGTGCACCCTGTGAAAAAAATCTGGGACCCAGCGGTGCATTGTGGGAACGCCATCTTGTTAGTCCATTTTCACCATGCCTCTCGGTAAGAAGTTCCTCACTCCTCAGCGGATTGGAGGTCTTTTGTTCCCAAGTGATAGCTTAACAGCGATGAAAATGTCAGTGCAGTGAATTCCAGGGTTTTGAAGTGAGTGTTACCGGAAAAAAAGTGCCCAGGATAACGTGATTAGTGATGAAAACCCAGAGGGACCCAAAAACCTTCCACCTCTGGTGCTGGGCGGCTTGTTCACGTTCACATTGCCTGTCCCAGGACGAAAGAGGAAACTATTTGGTCTTTGTACAACACCCAGATGTTAGCAGTGAATGTGTTTAGTGATAGTGATTTCAAGGTCTTTGGGAAAGCATTCTAGTGACGTGAGGGTGAATTTTCCCCTAGTGAAGCGGAAAGTATGTACGACGCAGCATGTGCTTGGTAGTGTTTCATATGTTGTTCCAAGGGGAAGGAGAAACTCTGGGGCACATCCCGTGGCCCTACACCACGACCTGATAGTGGAGAGGACGATATTGTTACGATGGGTATGAATGATGTGAGTGAGGGAGCAGGCCGTGGTGGTGTTTGTGAGGGTGGCACGGCCCATGTGGCACCATCAGGGGGCCATGCTACTCCCCCACGCTGCTGACTCTGCACAACAACCAGCCTCACCCGACCCCACACTCCCACAACCTGCACAACCACAACCATGGTACAATATCCAGAACCCCACCAGCAGACCGCATCTGGGTTTGGGCAGGACGGTGACGAGTTTGTTCCCAGTCCCCATGATTTTTGATGAAACACAAGTGGAATAAAGCCATCAGTCCACTTGGGAACAATGCTAGTGACTGGACTGCTTTGAGTTATTCTTCGATGAACCCCTGATGGACTCATTGTCAGGGAAACAAACACATACATGTACTATGATTACACCATGGCAAATACAATTCCTCTCACCAAAATACGGCTACACAAGTGGAAGGAGACAACTGTGGCAGAGATGTACCTGTTTTTTGCACAATAATGCTTATGCACATGTGTAAAAGCCACTGTCACCACATACTGGGCAACAGAACGCCTGATTCAACTCCAGGTTTTAGTGACATTATAGGTGTCAATCGTTCCTGATACTGGTTACATATGTTACACTTTTCAGACAAAACCAGGCCTGACAAAAGCGACGGTTATATAAGATCAGAAATGTGTTTATTTACCTTGAAACAAAAGTGCTGCATTTTATTTTATCCCTTCAGGAAGCTTGTTATTGATGAGCCCTTGATTTTATTCAAAGGAAGACTCTCATTCAAGCAATATATACCAAGCAAGAGGAAACACTTTGGTATAAAGCTATTTGTACTGTGTGATTGCAGAAGTGTTCTAGTTTCGGATATCATTGCGTACACTGGCAGTAATACTTTGAGAGATACCATGAAGTTATTGGGTATCTCTGGTGATGTGGGTTCGAACAATGATGGAACCATATTTGGTAAGGGGCATTTTGCTATTTACTGATAACTGGTACAGCCCTTACTCAGTGATTTCTTGCGAGTGAACTGACAGACGTGTGTGGCACAGTGCGTGGTAATCGTAAACATATGCCAAGGTTCGACGCTGGCACTCGCAGAGGTGAGGTGCAAGCCTTTTCTGCCAGTGACATCATGGCATTTCGGTGGCATGACAAACGTGATGTCACGTTGTTGACATCAGTTCCCCCGAAATGAAATGGCACAACAGTGGCAGGCACAACAGAGAGACCAATGAAGCCATTCTAAAGCCTGCAGCTGTCATGGACTACAACCTCAATATGCACTTAGTGGACAAATGTGACATGCAGATTGGGTTTGCCCGACTGTGTATGCAAGAGTTATAAGTGGTATATAAACTTTTTTTTTCCCTATTATTGATAAACTCTATGCTAAATGCTTTAACATATACAAGTTGAAGGGGCCAACAAAAATACCAAATATGGTGAATTTTGTTTGTTTAGTAATCAGACAAATAATCGCAAAAGTACAAGGAGCAACACCTGCAAAGACCAGCGCCCACGAAATTACCAACACACGTCATCTCGTTTCAGGCCTGGTAATCACTACCCCATACAACTGCCTCCTACTACTGCCAAGAAAAATGCTCAGAAGAGGTGTTATGTATGTACACATACCACAAAACGCCCACAAACACGCAGAGACACTGTTTTTATGTGTGAGGAGTGTCAAGTGCCCCTCTGCATATACCATGTTTCAAAGAGTTTTCCCCAAGCTGCAGCAGTTCTAGGAATGTGTTTAGTGACTGTACATATGTATATATATTATGGAACAATAGTAATAAACATTGTGTTGTGTTGTTTGTTTGTGTAAACAAAGTGTATACACAAACTAATAGTGATAAAGTTTGTTCTATTATTGTGTTGTAAACAATGAGTGTATATTTGAACAATGCACCTTACATTGGTCTCACAGGCCACATAAGTTACTTGGAAAAGAAAAATATTGAAAAATGCAAGAAACCTTTGAATTAGAGTAAAAAGAATACCGGGTGGGCGGCAGTCGCCGCTGTTGCCGTACGCACATCACTTTCTACAAACTTTGCGGCTCTATATCTCGGTAAGTACTGATGGCAAAAATTTTTTTTTAGGCTTAAAACACTCAGAAAAATATTCCTAACATTTTCATAAGAAAAAATAATTTTTCTTTTTTTCGAATATTTGGCGACATAGAATGACAGTTTCAGAAAGGGGCCTGCGACAGTCAAAGGGTTAATCAGCAGTATTGACAGTATATAAACAGTCATTTATATCTGACAGTGAAGGACACATCATTGTCGCTTAACTAATTCTAAGTCAGATGCTTATTATTCAGATTTGAAGATGAACAGTATGATGCATTGTAATAGAAACTCTATGAAGGAGTTTTTTCTGTACTTGTTGCTATTACAGCAATTCTACCATTCCTGTAGCCTTACTGAATTTCTGCATAATACAGACTGATGCTCCAAGTTGCTCAGGCAAAACATCACCATCCTGCAGTAAGAAATCTCGCAAAGAACAAGCTCAAGCTTGGAGCTTCTTAGGAAACTCTAGTCGGAGTGTTTCCAGCTCAGGGCAGCATAAGGCTCAGAAAGCTAAAAATACCAGGATTGACCCTGTTTCTCAAGATGTGTCTTCCATAGTCAACAGTGAAATTACACTGCCTGATTCCTGTCAGCATCCTAGGCAGAAGTCAGGTTAGTTTCCATCATAATTTCTTTGTTTTCCAGGTGCTTGCATAGTACTGTACTTTATTATAGATTAGTTGGCTTCTTCTCTAATACTGAAGTATTACTGCAATGGAAGAAAAAGTGACACTTTCTCTCATTGATGTTCCTTTCATTGGTTCAATTCAGACAACTTACAAGGAGGAAGGGGTGAAGGGATCTTGAGCCCAAAGGTTGGAACTACCCCTTACCCCTAATTTCCTCATATCAAACCTGATTATTTTTTTTTTTTTTTATTCCCCAGGTGCTGTATGACCCATATGGGTTTAACATAGCTCCTTGACTATACCATAGTAATAATAATTGACTCAAGCACATGCTCTATTGGCTTCCTCCTTCATTTGTTCTACTTCTACAAGACTTTCAGTGAATAGTATTTCTATTTATTTGTATGAAGAGCGATAAGAAAATTAGCACACAGAGGTTGTAATTTTAGAAACAATTTGTTTTACTAATTACATATGACTTTGTCTTGTGGCACTCTACTGCCTACTGTATACTTTGCCAGTCTTCGACTGGGTTAATACATAATACATGTGTATAATATTTGAACAAGTGTTGTGTATAAAACCAGTTGTTATAGTCAGCCTGAGCTTCCATTTTGATCTAACACATGGGAGAGGGGAGGTAACTTCTTCTTTCAACAAACCAGCCGTTTTCCACCAAGGTAGGATGGCTCAGAAAGAAAAACAAAAGTTTCTTCTTTTAACTTTAGTAATGTATACAGGAAAAGGGGTTACTAGCCCCTTGCTCCTGGCATTTTAGTCAACTCTTATGACACTCATGGCTTACTAAGGAAGAATTCTGTTCCATTTCCCCACAGAGATAAGAGGAAATAAACAAGAACAAGAACTAGCAAGAAAATAGAAGAAAACCCAGAGGGGTGTGTATATATATGTTTGTACATGCATGTGTAGTGTGACCTAAGTGTAAGTAGAAGTAGCAAAACATACCTGAAATCTTGCAAGTTTATGAGACAGAAAAAAGACACCAGCAATCCTACCATCATGTAAAACAATTACTTTTGTTTTACACTCGCCTGGTAGGATGGTAGTAAGGGAAGGTAATATGTATACTTAATTAATCCCCTCATCAAAGCATTGCATTCACTATGGTCTGGTGAGATATTTATATAAAAAGTTAAGATAATCTATTAACCTTAGTAAGAATCATGGAAAATAATCCTAGGATACTATGTGATGGTCCTTTGCTTTTTAGTGTAGCTGAAAATTTTGCAAAAGTTAGCCAGTGGATGCTTTATTAACTGCAGGTATATGTTGGTATTTTTTTTTTTTTTTTTTAACAAGTTGGCCTTTCTCCCGAGGCAGGGTTTTCCCCAAAAAAAAAAAAAACCCCCAAAAAGAAAATACTTTATCATTTTCAACCCTTTCATCTCATACACATAATCACTTTTTTTGCAGGGGTCCCCAGAATCAACAGTTTAGAAAGTATTGTAAAAAAATACAAAATATACCCTTTCCAAAATTTCCCAACCCCAAACCCCTCCTTTAAAGGCAGGCTTGTACTTCCTTTTCCCGGGGATCAAGTCCGGCTATATAAAAAAACCCGGTTTCCCCAAATCCCTTCTTAAAAATATTCCCCTTCACATTCCAAAGCTCGTCAGGTCCAAAAATATCATTTCCCCTTTTCACTCCTTCGAACTCTACGCCGTTGCTGGAAGCCCAAAGCCCCTGCCAAAAAACCTCCTTTACCTTTCCTTCAACCCAAGACTGGTAGTAGAAAAACACTCATGTCGAATTTTCATTTAAACGAAACACCGCTCATGGAAATGAGAAAATCCCAAACAAGCATTGTTGGGTCCTTTTTTACACAACCCTAAATAAGCTTTTCTGCAAACCCCTCTGAGTTGAATGGGATAAACGGTTTACATGGCCCCTCGCTAGCCTATTAACCCTTTCTGAGGCTAAATGTTATGCGAAAAATTTTTTATGCGGAGAATTTTCCCCCTAAGAATAAGGAAAATAAAATTAAATCCTTTCCTGCACCCAAAAGTTTGAAAAAAAAAATTTTTACACATGAAATATTTTTTTAAATAACACAGACTGAAAAGCGGACAGTTACATGACCTTCCCTTTTTTTGAAGTTTGGGTTTGTGATTGATGGTGGGAGGAGGGGATCTTAGTGTTTTGAGGGAAATTCCCCTTCCATTAAGTTTGGGGTGTAAAGTCCTTTTCCAGGGTTATTCCCTTCTTCTTTTTATTGCCATAGGCCCGCTTGAGATACTGGACTTCTGTCGCCAAAACTATCTGTCCCTAGGGTCGGTACCTCTTTTCCCTTTATGATTTCCCTAAAGTGGTTAACAAAATTGCAGTGTAATAGTCCCCAGCAAGTTGGAAAACCCCGTTGGGGTGTTTTTCATCCTGAGGTTTGCATTTTAAACCCCAATTTGCACAGATTTTTTTAATCTTTGAAGTAGGCAATTTTTTTAATTTTCTCTCCCTCCTCAAAGCAGTTTCCTCGGTGTGGCCTCTGCTGATGAAGATGATCTAGCGTATCAGGGGTTAGTTCTTCATTGTCCTCCCCACCAACTTTTCCCACTTATCCCACAAACCCTCCAACCCAAGGACTTTCCAATGCCACAATAGATTCCTCAATGGCGGATTCCAGGGTTAGCCAAAAAACCCTTTAAAAAACCCCCTTTTTTCTAACTTTTGGCCACAGTTTCTTTTAAGAGGTTCAAGGTCCTTTAGTCACCCCTCCCAAACCTTTTTAAAAGGTTTTTCACAATTGGGATTTAAAGTGCTCTTCAAAACTCTCTTAGAGTCAATTTAGTTTCTGAGGTCACTACAAAGACCTTTCAAAAAAGAGCTTTTTTTACAGTTTTTTGAAGTTTGCAATAACCCGCTGGTCCATGGGGTGGGAGAGGGGTGGTATTGGAGGCAAAAAAATTTACCCTTTAATGAAGTCTGTCCCCCCAAAATCGCTCTGCCCGTCTGTTGGAGACCAGGGCATTGTCTAAAACCCGGGGCATTAAGGTTAATTCTTTTCAGTTAGGTAATTTTTCCATTGGGGCAAATGCTTTGGGGGTAAAAAGATAAAAAAAGTCCCTAGTGACCTGCCTTTCTGTTTGCCCTCCCCAGCAACAAAATTTGCCTTTAGGATATTTTTTGTGAACGTCTGGGGTTTTTAGGTGTTAAATAATTTAAAAGGGTTCACTTTGCAATCGCCATAGCATTTGGGAACATGGGGAAAAAGTAAACCCGTTTTCATAGGCTTATGTTGGAGTGCCTTTTCCTCTGAGAATGTAGTCCTGTTGGCATTTTTTCCAAAAACAGGCCCGTTTGTCACAATTAAACACTTGTTCAGGTTTCAGTCCTTCATGTCATGCACTCCCTTTAATTCCTGCACATACTTTTCAGCTGCTTTGTGGTTGAATGGCAGCCCCCACCATGCCTTATCACATTGTATGCCATAGCTTTTAAATCTCTCAAACCAACCTTTGCTGGCCTTAAATTCCTCAATCATCACAGTTGCAGGATTTTTTTAATTAAAACCTGATGAAATTCCTACCCTTTTCATTATGACGCTTGAGAGATGCTATTCCTGCTATTGTTTTTGTTTACCCAAACCCCAATAAGGCTTTAACTCTTCTTCACTTGCGATCTCTGTTTCGAAAACACGTTGAACCTTTGCAAAAAACGTTTCCTTGATTGCTTTTTTCGGACAAATAGTAGGATGGTTGATTGGGGTTTCATAAAACCCGGCCCAGCTCGGGACACGTACTCCACTTATACTTAGCAATGATCTCTTTCTTCTTCTATGTAATTTCCCCTTATTCCCGTAGGGTTTGGCATAGAAGTTTTTGGGGCCCATGGTCACTTATTTTTAATAAAAAACCAAAAAAAGCTTTTAAAAATACAAAATGTTCGTTTTTTTTGCTTGGAGTTACCCGGGGCTGGCTGGTAAACAAGCCCCGCGGAACATGTGAGGGGTGGTAGGTGCACATTGGACGCGTCTCGGACGATAGGTTGAGCGAATTTTTTTTGTGGTATGCGAGGGAAAAAATTTTTGGGTAAAATGTTGGTATGCGGTTTTAACGTTATGTGGGCCAACGGTATGCGGGGTCCACTGTATTGCTTGACCTCTGTAGTGTATATCAAATCAATATTTCATAGAAAATGCAGGAAGGTGATACGGTACCAGCATTATTTTAAAACAACATAGAAGTGGCAACATTGGTCAGCAGAGGCAGCTGTAGGTATACTAAGTTGAATTTGAAAATATTTTCTGTTGGCTTAAACTGATGATATTATTAATACTGCAGGTTTATTATGTTGCTATCACTTAAAATCAGTAATTCTCTTCAAAAATATGTATATACTTGCTAAAGACCCAAGTTTTTTCTAGTGAATGTACAACTACGGTGCCTGTAGTGTTAGTCTGGATATGACATTAAGAGTACGAGAACTTAGAGTAATGAAACTGGTAGTGAGAATGACAGGACTCTTTTCTCATGCTCATGTCACCAGCAAATTTCATCCAAAATTATTGCACAATTTTAAAATTTCCATGCAGTAATGGAATTTCATGGTAAATTACTCTTATTACCATGAGTATAGTACTCACTACTGTATTTGTTAAGAAAATGCAGCGCTGTATAGCCCTTGTGGCTTAGCGCTTCTTTTTGATTATAATAATAATAATGTTAAGAAAATGATTATCATATTACCTTGTATCAAATTAGATCTGCATTATAATAAGAGTGTGTAATTACTGTAACTTCTTTGTATGGCTTGTGAGAAATACAAAAGTTTAGATTTTAATTTTAATTTATTGGCAACTGATCATTAAAAGGAAGTCAGAGCACTGTACATACATATTAATTTTCAGCACATGCACAGATCTGAAATAAAAATTTGACAATGCTTGGGTCTATTGTACACCATTATCAGGTAATTAATTTATTGGCTTGAGAATGGTCAAAGAGAGATGAAAACCTTCACTCTTTTATTGTCAATTTCTGGGTTAATAGTGAATTCTTCCTACTACAGTATTATGACTTTTATTCTTCCAATATTTATCAGTTGGTAATTTCACAGTATCTTTAGTTCTGGATTTTTCACATGTTATTTATTTAAAATACTAAATATACAGCACTATGAAAGCTAAAATATTTTTAGATTACTGGGCTATAATTCTAATACCTGTTTCACATACAGTATTTTCCTGTTGAGAAATATTAATCTTTGTTTTAACAAAGATATACCCTTCAACAGACAACAGTAGTGGTGTGCCACTTGCAGAGAAGATGCGACCAGTAACCTTGGATAACTATATTGGACAAGACAATATCCTATGCAACAATTCTTATCTCAGGACATTGATTATGCAAGATAATTTCATCAACATGATTCTTTGGGGGCCTCCAGGCTGTGGAAAGGTAAACTTAGACACTTTCCATTATAAATTTTGATCTTTAGTAAGCATCACTTTAACATTATATGTGATACAGTACCATACCAAATCTTTCACAATACATTGAGCATACACATTGCCCATGAAATGGTTGAAATATGCTGAACAAACCTATAGAAAAAACTAGAGCATATGCAACATATGTACATGCAGAGCAGAGGGAACAAAAGGGTTACAGTACAGTAGATTATTGTGATTTAAGAAGTCAGGTGTAAAAAGTCTCTGAAGTACAGTTGTTGATAATCTTTCCCATCATAAGTGATGAGGTAAAAGGATATGGATGTTGCCGAGATTTTATTTTTTCTTGTGATTTTCAGTGGGCATGGTTTGTTTGTTTGTATAAATTCAAGGATTATGTGGAGTAAAATAAAGATTGGATGTGAAAAGTGGGTTATAGTAAGCGTGTATGCACCTGGAGAAGAGAGAAGTGTAGAGGAGAGAGAGAGATTCTGGGAAATGTTGAGTGAATGCGTGGGGAGTTTTGAATCAAGTGTGAGAGTAATGGTGGTTGGGGATTTCAATGCTAAAGTGGGTAAAAATGTTATGGAGGGAGTAGTAGGTAATTTTGGGGTGCCAGGGGTAAATGTAAATAGGGAGCCTTTAATTGAGCTATGTGTAGAAAGAAATTTGGTAATAAGTAATACATATTTTATGAAAAAGAGGATAAATAAATATACAAGGTATGATGTAGCACGTAATGAAAGTAGTTTGTTAGATTATGTATTGGTGGATAAAAGGTTGATGGGTAGGCTCCAGGATGTACATGTTTATAGAGGGGCAACTGATATATCGGATCATTATTTAGTTGTAGCTACAGTTAGAGTAAGAGGTAGATGGGAAAAGAGGAAGGTGGCAACAACAAGTAAGAGGGAGGTGAAAGTGTATAAACTAAGGGAGGAGGAAGTTCGGGCGAGATAAAGCGAAAAATTGCAAAAAGGTGGGCTATGCAAAGAATATGGGGGGGTTTTGAAGGGGGTTGGAATGTTTTAAAAATGCAGTATTAAATGGGGCAAATTTTGGGGTTTGGGGGGGGTGGGGGAGGGGGAAAAGGGGAGATTGGGGAATGATGAAGTAAAGGGTGTGATAAAAGAGAAAAAGGGTAGCTTACGAGAGGTTTTTACAAACAGAGTGAAAAAAGGGGAAGAGTAAGGAGAGTAAAAGAAAGGTAAAAGAAGGGGGTTAAGAGTGCAAAAGGGAGGCAATAAAGAGTGGAGAGGCAGTCAAAAATTTAATGAAAATAAAAAAAATTTTGGGAGTTTTTTAAAAATTAAAAAGCTTGGGAAATAGGATTTTCAGTTAAAAAAAAGTGGGGAAGTTAGTAGAGGGGGAGAGGGGGTATTGGGTAGATGGCGAGAATTTTTGAGGAATTTTTAAAATTTTAAGGGAAAAAAAGGGGGAGGCGGTAATTTCTCAGGGGCCAGGGGGGTATACCATTTTTGGGGAAGTGAAGGGCAGAATGAAGTTGGTGGGGACGTGGGCATTACGTAGAAGAAAGGGGGAAAACAGCGGGAACTGATGGGTATGACAGAAATGTTAAAACAGGGGGGATATAGTTGGGGGAGGGGTTGGTTTTTTTGTTTAATAAATTATAAAGGGGGGAAGGAAACCTGGGGATTGGGGGAGAGCATGTATAGCCCTTTAAAAAAGGGAAAGGGGGAAAAAAGAGATTGAAAAAATTAAAAGGGGAAAAATTTTACTGATATCCCGGGAAAGATACTTAGGGTTAAATTGAAAGAATTAGGGGTAAGCAGAATGTAAATTGCGGACAGCAAGGAGCTTCAAGTGGGTGGGGGATGTGTAATAAAGGGTTTTTTACATTAAAAACATATAGGGAACAGTATTTAGAAAAAAGGGAGGGAAGTTTTTTTTTGTTTTTGGGATTTAGAAAAGGCTTATAGGTGGATAGAGGGCAATGGGGGCAGATGTTCAAGTATATGGAATAGGTGGGAAAATTTTTAAAAGCTGTAAAAGCTTTTTAGGATGTGAGGGGTCAGGTTAGGGGGTGTAGAAGAGAGGGAAATACTTTTTTCCCCGGGAAAATAGGGCTTAGACAGGATGTTAATGTCCCATGGTTGTTTAAAATATTATAGATGGGGTTGTAAAGAAAAAGCTAGGGGTTCGGGAAGGGGTGGGATTAAAAATTTGGGGAAAAAAATTCAAAATGGAATTTACACATTTCTTTTTTCGATGAACTGTTTATGGGAGTTCTAAGAAAATTTCAAAAGGGTTTGTGGATAGTTGGAATGGTGTAAGGGAGAAAGTTGAAAGTGAAAATAAAAAGAGTAAGGTGATAGGTATCAAATGTTTTTGTAAAGAAAAATTGGGTATCAAATTGGGGAGGAGGAGATGGAAAATGAATGTTTTCAGTACTTGGGAGTTGACGGGCGGCGGAGGATTTAGAGGGTGAGGGTTTAAACTAGAATTGTGAGGGAAAAAAAGGGGAGTGGTGCGTTGGGTTTTTTTGGGGGCAAAAAAGTTTTCTATGGACAAAAAAGGGAAAGTATGAAAAATAGTATACCAAACTCTTTAGGATGTAAGCTTTGGGGGGTAAATGCGCAGCGAGGGGAAAGGTTGGAGGCAGTGGAGATGGGCCTTCTAAGGGGAAAGTTGGGGGAAATATTATCAGAAAATTCGGGGTTGAAATTTTGGAGAAGGGGGGGAGTTATAAAAAACATTAGCAGAGGGGGAAGAGGGGTTGTTGAGGGGGTTTGGTCATTTAGAGAGAATGGATCAAAGTAGAATGACAGGGAAAGCATATAAATCTATAGGGGAAAGGGGAAAAGAGGGGTAGGGGTCGTCCTCGAAGGGTTTGGGAAAAAGGGGGTAAAGGAGGTTTTGTGGGTTAGGGGCTTGACTTCCAGCAAGCAGAAATGAGCGTGTTAGATGGGAGTAAATGGAGACGAATGATACTTGGGACCTGACGATCTGTTGGAGTGTGAGCAGGGTAATATTTAGTAAAGGGGATTCAGGGAAACCGGTTATTTTCTTTATAGTCGACTTGAGTCCTGGAAATGGGAAGTACAATCCCTGCACTTTAAAGGAGGGGTTTGGGATATTGGCAGTTTGGAGGGATATGTTGTGTATCTCTATACGTATATGCTTCTAAACTGTTGTATTCTGAGCACCTCTGCAAAAGCAGTGATAATGTGTGAGTGTGGTGAAAGTGTTGAATGATGATGAAAGTATTTTCTTTTTGGGGATTTTCTTTCTTTTTTTTGGATCACCCTGCCTCGGTGGGAGACGGCCGACTTGTTGAAAAAAAAAAAAAAAAAAAAATGGTTTGTTTGGCATGAGAAACCTTACATAGTCTACTATAAGAGATTATCTGTCAAATAGAATGTCTTACACAGTTTGGTATAAGAGATTATCTGTCAAACGGAATATCTTTAACAGTTTGGTATACAAGAGATCATCTATCTAAGAGAATCTCTACCTTACATGGCATTTTATTACAATATTGTACTTGAATGTATTTGGCACTACTAAATGTACTGAGATACCATTGTATGTTTGTTCATGTTGTATTATATTTGTTCATCATGATGCTGCAGTCTGAGCAGAATTGCAAAAAACCAGATATCACTATTCAACCTATCCTCAGCATTTTTTACTGTTCATGAGAAACTGCATGCTTGAAATCTCACGATAATTTCATGGAATCCACTCATATACTTAATTTCATTATTGTTAGGTAATCACTAATACAGTATATAAAAACACATCGGTAATACAGTGGAACCTCGGTTTTCGTCATTAATTTATTCGAAAATGTCTGATGATAACCTGAATTGTATGAAAACTGAAGCAATATTTCCCGTAAGAAATAATGTAAATCCAATTAATCCGTTCCAGACACCCAAAAATATTAACAAAAAATACATTTTATAGAGAATAACTAGTTTTATATAAAAACTGGATCAAAACCCGGGGTTCCACTGCATACTTTACCCAACAAAATCTTTCCCCCCTCCCCAAACCAAAAAAACAAATTTTAAAAACAAAAAAAAAAAATTTTAAAATAAATGCTAGAAATGCCTTACCTGGAGAACGGGTTTTGCACTCTGAATCCTAAACCAGTTATTCAAGAAAAATAATTTTAAAAAAAGAAAAAAAAAATTAAAAAAATGTGGCATATCGGTTTACTCGAACTGTTTAGTGATCGAAATTTTCAGCTCCCCGGGGTTTGAGGTACTGGGGGGTAGTAAACGTCTTTCACATACCCCCAAAGAAGAAGTCACAAAATTTGGGCCCGGGTGCCCTCGGGGGCCACTTGCAGAGGTCCCCGGATTAACTGTTTTGTGACTTTCTTCTTTGGGGTACTGAAGAGCACATTTTTTATGTCCCACCACTACTGAACCCGGAAAAGCTGAAATTTCGATCGAAGCAGTTTGCATGAAAACACCAGATATCTGCAGAGATCTGGACCAAACTGGACATCCTCGATTTTGCTGACAACCAGGGGGACACACAGTGAGTCCCTTTACACCAAATACCCATGAAACTGAATGAAATCCTGCATCCGAAGCTTCAAACTGTGAAAGATATTCAGTAATTTACATGTTTATACCTGTTTGAAACAGGGAGGTTTTTGTGGAACGTATATTTTGAGCTACAGTTCCACTGAGGTCTTTAGAGCAAAACATTTTTCCTGTTTTTTTCTGAAATTTGGAAAAATGGCAATATTTAAAATGTTTGTTTTTAGGCATCACTATTGTACATTTTTTTTTTTTTTTTTTTTTTTTTTTTTTAACAAACGGGGTTTTCCCACCGAGGGGGGTGACCCAAAAAAAAAAAAGAAAATTCCCAAAAAGAAATACTTTCATCATCATTCAACACTTTCACCACACTCACACATTATCACTGCTTTTGCAGAGGTGCCCAGAATACAAGAGTTTAGAAGCATATACGTATAGAGATACACAACATATCCCTCCAAACTGCAATATCCCAAACCCCTCCTTTAAAGTGCAGGCATTGTACTTCCCATTTCCAGGACTCAAGTCCGACTATATGAAAATAACCGGTTTCCCTGAATCCCTTCACTAAATATTACCCTGCTCACACTCCAACAGATCGTCAGGTCCCAAGTATCATTCATCTCCATTCACTCCTATCTAACACGCTCATGCACGCTTGCTTGAAGTCCAAGCCCTCACCCACAAAACCTCCTTTACCCCCTCTTTCCAACCCTTTCGAGGACGACCCCTACCCTCTTTCCTTCCCCTATAGATTTATATGCTTTCCATGTCATTCTACTTTGATCCATTCTCTCTAAATGACCAAACCACCTCAACAACCCCTCTTCTGCCCTCTGACTAATGCTTTTATTAACTCCACACCTTCTCCTAATTTCCACACTCCGAATTTTCTGCATAATATTTTACACCACACATTGCCCTTAGACAGGACATCTCCACTGCCTCCAACCGTCTCCTCGCTGCTGCATTTACCACCCAAGCTTCACATCCATATAAGAGTGTTGGTACTACTATACTTTCATACATTCCCTTCTTTGCCTCCATAGATAACGTTTTTTGACTCCACATATACCTCAACGCACCACTCACCTTTTTTCCCTCATCAATTCTATGATTAACCTCATCCTTCATAAATCCATCCGCCGACACGTCAACTCCCAAGTATCTGAAAACATTCACTTCTTCCATACTCCTCCTCCCCAATTTGATATCCAATTTTTCTTTATCTAAATCATTTGATACCCTCATCACCTTACTCTTTTCTATGTTCACTTTCAACTTTCTACCTTTACACACATTCTCAAACTCATCCACTAACCTTTGCAATTTTTCTTTAGAATCTCCCATAAGCACAGTATCATCAGCAAAAAGTAACTGTGTCAATTCCCATTTTGAATTTGATTCCCCATAATTTAATCCCACCCCTCTCCCGAACACCCTAGCATTTACTTCTTTTACAACCCCATCTATAAATATATTAAACAACCATGGTGACATTACACATCCCTGTCTAAGACCTACTTTTACCGGGAAGTATTCTCCCTCTCTTCTACACACCCTAACCTGAGCCTCACTATCCTCATAAAAGCTCTTTACAGCATTTAGTAACTTACCACCTATTCCATATACTTGCAACATCTGCCACATTGCTCCTCTATCCACTCTATCATATGCCTTTTCTAAATCCATAAATGCAATAAAAACTTCCCTACCTTTATCTAAATACTGTTCACATATATGCTTCAATGTAAATACTTGATCTACACATCCCCTACCCACTCTGAAACCTCCTTGCTCGTCCGCAATTCTACATTCTGTCTTACCTCTAATTCTTTCAATTATAACCCTACCGTATACTTTTCCTGGTATACTCAGTAAACTTATTCCTCTATAATTTTTACAATCTCTTTTGTCCCCTTTCCCTTTATATAAAGGGACTATACATGCTCTCCGCCAATCCCTAGGTACCTTCCCCTCTTTCATACATTTATTAAACAAAAGTGCCAACCACTCCAACACTATATCTCCCCCTGCTTTTAACATTTCTGTCATGATCCCATCAGTTCCAGCTGCTTTACCCCCCTTCATTCTACGTAATGCCTCACGTACCTCCACCACACTTACATTCTGCTCTTCTTCACTCCTAAAAAATGGTATACCTCCCTGGCCAGTGCATGAAATTACCGCCTCCCTTTCTTCCTTAACATTTAAAAGTTCCTCAAAATATTCTCGCCATCTACCTAATACCTCCCTCTCCCCATCTACTAACTCCCCTGCTCTGTTTTTAACTGACAAATCCATACTTTCCCTAGGCTTTCTTAACTTGTTTAACTCCCTCCAAAATTTTTTCTTATTTTCATTAAAATTTCTTGACAGTGCATAATATTTATAATTCCAGAGTATTAAATTTATAAAATTGTCTTGCCAGACTTCATTAGCCAACATTATCCATGAACGTTGCCGTGGGTCTGAGAAATGGCGATACTCCTCACTCTCAGCTTGTACATCAGGAGTTCAAGATGTGAAGAATGTTGTCCGAGAAGCACAGGGAGCCTTACAGTTGAGAAAAAAGCGTACTGTTCTTTTCATGGATGAAGTACATAGGTTTAATAAGGCACAACAGGTAAGTAAATAGTTTTTAAGCCTTTGACTGTTTTGGTCATATATATACGTATTACAAGCCAGTGTGTTTGACGTATATGTACTTAAAAATTCTAGAGGCTTCAAATCAAGCAGGAGAAAGCTGGTAGGCCCACATGTGAGAGAATGGGTCTGTGTGGCCAGTGTGCACAGTATAAAAAAAAAATCCTGCAGCACGCAGTGCATAATGAGAAATAAAAATCTCCCACCGTGTTTTTGGATTAAAACGCCGACTTTGAGGTGTCTTTTCGTATAGTATTTATAATTATATTTGTGTTTTCTTGGTCTCATTTGACAGAATGGAAATCATATGATAGAAATAGAAGTGACTTTGATTGGTTTTACTATGAAAAGGATATTGAAATGGAGCTCAAAGTTGCAGAAATATTTGATTTTTGCCGATGTTCAAAAGTAAACAAATGATGTCATTGTCCGATAAATGTCCAACTAGCCATTCTGATACAGAGTCACGAATGGGTTGACATCATTTACACAATTATTACAATATTGTAGTGGCTTGCATAACAGTAAATCTTCTATTTTTTGTATGAATAAAAATTCAAAATAGAAAGCAAGAGTATTATAACAGGGGCCTGGAGACATTACTGATGAACAGAGAAAATGCTTTTTTAGTGCCAAGAATGTCTGCATTGTTCATTTTGGACCCTGTTTTGAAATTAACATATTTTTTAATTTGCATGAAATTGGCAATTTCTGACCATTTTATTGGGTAGTTGAAATCGGTACATGGGCAGTTTCTTGTACTCCGTCGATAGAACAAATGGAGTTCTAAAGAAATAGCTATGAGTTTGGTGGACTGGAACAATGGAATTGGCTGAAAATAGGGCTCAAAGTATGCGAAATCACCTATGCGTAAATGTCGCTGAGGTCGCTAACTTCGCGAGAGTATAATTCCGTAAGTTTTTCATCAAATTTCATACTTTTGGTGTCATTATCATTGGGAAAAGATTCTCTACAATTTCATAAGAATTTTTTTTTTTTTTTTTTCTTTCTTTCTTTTCAAATATTTTGTGACACCAGGAGACACTTCAGGATTTGGGGTTGCGACAGTCAAAGGGTTAATTTATGACTAGTACAAAAAAGAATAATGTAGTAAAATTTGTTTACCCTTATTATTCTTGCTAGCTACTGTACCATTTGTTGACATAGGTGAGTAATTGGGTAGAGGTCTTGCATCATTGGCTGCTGTTTTGTATTTATTTCATAAATGTTTCATACTGCTAGCTTTTTTTTATTGCTTCCATAAAAAAATTTGCATATTATGAAATGTACTATGTATGAAAATCAAGGAAATTTCTGTACTGTAGCACAATAAATTGATAGCTTTTTAAAGTTTTTTACTTTTCTAAATTGTATCTTTATTTAGGTACAGTATGTCCTTACCTTCTATTTAGTATTTTTACAAAATCATTGAGCCACATTTATTTTCTCTGCATGAGGATCAAGTAACACAAAAATGATCAAGTTTTAATTGAAATGCAACCCATTGCTACTTGTTCCTTAATTTTAACTAAATTTTGAATATTATCTTTCTTTTCTATGTTGCAAGATTTTTTTTTGTAATTGTGAGAGCAAATATAACTTAAGTAAAAGGACACAGATGCAACTAATGTGACATTTTACTGTGGCAACGTTTCACACTCCAGGAGCTTTATCAAGCCGTTACGGCTTAATAAAGCTCCTGGAGAGCGAAACATTGCCACAATAAAATGTCACATTAGTTGCATCTGTGCTCTTTTACTTAACATATTGCTGGTAATTCTACCAATATTAATATATACTATATATATTTTTTCAACAAACCGGCCATCTCCCACTAAGGTAGGATGACCCCCCTCCAAAAAAAAGAGAAACACTTTCACCATCACTGTCTTGCCAGAGGCATGCCAATACTACAGTTCAAAACTGCCAATATCCCCACCCCTCCTTCAGAATGCAAACACTGTACTTCCCACCTCCAGGACTCAAGTCCGGCTAACCGGTTTCCCTGAATCCCTATATAAATGCTACCTTGCTCACACTCCAACAGCATGTCAGATCATAAAAACCACTTGCCACCTCTCACTCCTATCTAACGAGCTCTCATGCACTTGCCAGATGTCTAAGTCCTGTCCAAGCAAAACCTCCTTTACCCCCTCCCTTCATCCTCTCCTAAGATGACCCCTACCCAGCCTTCCCTCCACTACAGATTTATACACCCTCCATGTCATCCTGTTTTGTTCCATCTTCTCTAAATGTCCAAACCACTTCATCCCCTCCTCAGCCCTTTGGATAATACTTTTAGCAACTCCACACCTCCTTATCTCCAAGCTACAAATTATCTGCATAGTATTCCCACCTCACATTGCCCACAGACACATCTCCACTGCCTCCAGCCTCCTCCTCACTGCAACATTCACAACCTATGCTTTACACCCATATAAGGGCATTGGTGCCACTAGACTCTCCATACATTTCGCTTTTTACTTCTATGGATAACATTCTTTGTCTCCCCAGATGCCTCAGTACACCACTAACCTTTCTTTCCCCTCTTAATTCTATAATTCACAAGTCCACTCCCAAATATCTCAACACTTTCACTTGCTCCATACTCCCTCCAATCTGATATCCAGTATTTCATTACCTAAGTTTTTTGTTGCCCTCATCACCTTGCTCTTTCCTATGCTCATTTTAATTTACTTCTATTACATACCCTCCCAAATTCATCCACCAACCTTTGCAACTTTTCTTCAGATGCTCCCAAAAGCACAGTGTCATCAGCAATAGACAACTGTGACAATTCCCACTTTGTGTTACATTCTTTATTTTCCAATCCACATATATCTTAAAAGCCATATGTACACAAAATTTCAGCATCTCTAATTTTACAGTTGAATTAAAAAAGCTCATACTGGAAGCATCACACTAAAGGTACAGTAAAAGTAAGAGACAGTAAAGGGATATGAAAAGTAAATGGTTGTTAGTCACAAATTTATAGATTTTTTCTTTCATAATTTTCAAACTTTTTGCACTTCTGGTATGCAGCAGGCACATGTAGTGGCACAAGTCTGTTTATATCTGGCATAGGGGATACAGTACTTATCTTTACTAGAACTAAAAATTGCATGAACAATTATCCTAGAAATTTAGAAGTAACACTTCATCAAAATGGCTTTGATAATAGTTCAGTATTTAGTTTTTCTTAATTTTATGTTAGTAACTTGCTTCAGACCTAGGTAGTAGGTTGGTAAACAGCAACCGCCCAGGGAGGTACTATCGTCCTGCCAAGTGAGTGTACAACGAAAACCTGTAATTGTTTTACATGATGATAGGATTGCTGGTGTCTTTTGTCTGTCTCATAAACATGCAAGATTTCAGGTATGTCTTGCTACTTCTACTTGCACTTAGGTCACACTACACATACATGTACAAGCATATATATACACACACCCCTGTGTGTATTCTTCTATTTTCTTTCTAGTTCTTGTTCTTGTTTATTTCCTCTTATCTCCATGGGGAAGTGGAACAGAATTCTTCCTCCGTAAGCCATGCATGTTGTAAGAGGCGACTAAAATGCCGGGAGCAAGGAGCTAGTAACCCCTTCTCCCGTATAAATTACTAAATTTAAAAGAGAAACTTTCGTTTTTCTTTTTTGGGCCACCCTGTCCCCCCCCCCCGCGTATGGGGGGATATGGCCGGTGTGTTGAAAGAAAGAACTTGCTTCAGAATAATACAGTACTAGTATTTGCCTTAGTATCACTTGTATCTCATTTTGCCTTTATATAATTTCTTTAAAAGGGTATTGCAATAATTAAATGTTGACATTTCTTGGTGCAGGACATCTTCTTGCCTCATGTTGAGAATGGCTTGCTTACTCTGGTTGGTGCCACCACAGAAAATCCATCATTTTCGCTTAATTCTGCTTTGCTGTCAAGGTAATTTTGTCTTCAGTGTTTTTATCATTATTTTGAATTTGACCCAAATGCTTCATATTATAATTGAAAATAAAAATTCAAATTTCCTAACTTCAAGAAGTTTACTCTTGTTTTAGTAAATGGCTTCTGATTCAAGGAAATATAACTTTCCTTTCCTGAATCAGACCTGATTACATCAGTAAATATGATACGTACTAATAATCCCTTGCTCTTAGTCTCTTAGTAACTGCCAGTAGTAAGTTACTTATCATAACCTCTTTCATACAGGGTGAACAGATGAGCACACAGCAAGGGTGTTGTGTTTGCAAGTGGCTGAAATTTGCAAAAAATCAGTTTGCCAAAATTAGTGGACCAATGCTCTGGGCTTATTTATCATTACACACTTTTTAAATGTTTAAAATTAGCACTAATATAGTTGACATTACAATGCAGATGTCGAGTTATTACCTTGGATGCTCTCAGTCCAAGTAGCATCAGGATGATCTTAAGAAGAACACTTAAAAAACTGAATGTTGCTGTTGATAGAGAAACAAAAATGAATATGGGAAATGGATTGAAAGCAGATGAAGAGACAAGTGAAAGTGATGAAGAGGAAGATGACTTGCAGTATAAAGAAACTGATGAAGAAACTAGAAGGTTTGTTTCAGTATGACTATAATATTTTTTTTTTTTTTTTTTTTTTTTACAAGTTGGCCGTCTCCCACAGAGGCAGGGTGACCCAAAAAGAAAGAAAATCCCCAAAGAGAAAATACTTTCATCATCATTCAACACTTTCACCTCACTCACAGATAATCATTGTTTTTGCAGAGGTGCTCAAAATACAACAGTTTAGAAGCATATACGTATAAAGATACACAACATATTCCTTCCAAACAGCAATATCCCGAAACCGCCTGGTCTTTACAGTGCAAGCAATGTACTGGGGTGTGGGTGGGGGATGTCCCATTTCCGGACTCAAGTCTGGCTGTGTAAAAATAACCGTTTTCCCTGATCCCTTCACCAAATACAGGTGGACCCGCCCCCGCCTTACGATATTAATCCGTTCCTGAAGAGCTCATCGTATGCCGACATTATCGTAAGGCGAATAATTTTCCCCAAAGAGAATAATGGAATCAAATTAATCCGTGGAAGATCACACAAAAGTATGAAAAAAAAAAATTTACCACACATGAAATAAATTTAAATACCACAACTTAAGAAGACAATGCACAGTTTTAATACTCTAACATAAGAATAGAATACATGACACTTACCATTATTGTAGATCTGGTGATGATTGAGGGGATGGAGGAGGGGAAGTGTGGAAGTTGTTATTGTTTAAGAAGGGGAATCCCCTACCATTAGGAACCAGAGGTTATCAGCCCTTTTCTTCTGGTTACTTCCCTTCTTCTTTTAATGCCACGTAGGACCCAGCTAGAGTCCACTGGACCTCTGTGCGCACAACATATCTGTCCATAGAGCTCTGTACCTCTCATTCCTTTATGATTTGTCTAAAGTGCTTCCCAACATTGTCATTGTAATAGTCACCAGCACGGCTTGCAATAGCTGTGTGAGGGTGATTTTCATCCATAAAAGTTTGCACTTCAAGCCACTTTGCACTCATTTTGTTAATCTCTTTTTTTCAATTCCATATTAATTCTCACCTTTTTTTACCACAGGGATGGCACTAGAAGCTTTCTTGGAATCCATGGTGACTTATTTTGCAGTTACAAGCACTAAAAACGACTGGGATAAAAAAAAAGATGTGAAATGTACCGAATGTATGCGTCGATGCGACCACACTGGCTGGCCTGTAGACACTGGCGCTGAGGCCACACGTGGGACGCGTCCTGGACAAATCACGTAAGGCGAGGCAAAATTTTTGCGTTAAAATGTATCGTATGGTGGATTTAACGTAACGCAATGCCATCATAAGGCGGGGTTCCACTGTATTACCCTGCTCACGCTCCAACAGCTCGACAAGTCCCAAATACCATTCGTCTCCATTCACTCCTATCTAATATGTTCACGCACGCTTGCTGGAAGTCCAAGCCCCTCGCCCACAAAACGACCTTTACCCACTCCAACCTTTTCGAGGACAACTCCTACCCCGGCTTCCTTCCCCTATAGATTTATGTGCTCTCCATATCATTCTACTTTGATCCATACTCTCTAAATGACCAAACCACCTCAACAACCCCTCTTCAGCCCTCTGACTAATACTTTAATTAACTCCACACCTTCTCCTAATTTCCACACTCTGAATTTTCTGCATAATATTTACACACATTACCCTTAGACAGGACATCTCCACTGCCTCCAACCATCTCCTCGATGCAGCATTTACAACCCAAACTTCACACCCATATAAGAGTGTTGGCACCACTATACTTTCATACATTCCCTTCTTTGCCTCCATAGAAAATGTTTAGTGGCTCCGACATATACCTCAATGCACCACTCACTTTTTTTCATCATCAATACCTAGATTAACCTCTCATCCTTCCTAAATCCATCGCTGTCACGTCCAACTCCTCCCAAATACAGTGACCCACGACCAACGATTGGCATCGATTAATGATAACTTCCGACCAGCGATACATTTTAACTAAACGCTAAAAATTTTGCCTCGACTAGCGCTAAAAACTACACAAAACACTAATACATTCTGTCTGAGACACGTCCACTTCTGGCCAGTGTTTACAAGCCAGCCAGCCACAGCGGTTGCTTCCAAGCATACAATCAGAATTTTTTATTTATTATTATTATCACACTGGCCGATTCCCCACCAAGGCAGGGTGGCCCGAAAAAGTAAAACTTTCACCATCATTCGCTCCATCACTGTCTTGCCAGAAGAGTGCTTTACACTACAGTTTTTAAACTGCAACATTAACACCCCTCCTTCAGAGTGCAGGCACTATACTTCCCATCCTCAGGACACCAAGTCCGGCCCTGCCGGTTTTCCCTAAAACCCCTTCAATAAATGATTACTTTGCTCACACCTCCAACAGCACGTCAACAAATGTATTAAAAATCATTTGTCTCCATTCACACGTTCGTATCAAACACGCTCAGCGCATGCCTTGCTGGAAGACCAAGCCCCTCGCAACAGTAGTCAAAACCTCCGTTTACCCCCTCCCTCCAACCTTTCCTAGGCGCGACCCTACCCCGTCTTCCTTCCACTACAGAACTGTAACACTCTTGAAGTCATTCTTTTCGCTTCATTCTCTCTACATGTCCGACCCACCTCAACAACCCTTCCTCAGCCCTCTGGACAACAGTTTTGTAATCCCGCACCCTCCTCCTAACTTCCAAACTATGAATTCTCTGCATTATATCACACCACACATTGCCCTCAGACATGACTTCTCCACTGCCTCCAGCCTTCTCCTCGCTTGCAACATTCATCACCCTGCTTCACACCCATAAAAGAGCGTTGTAAAACTAACTCTCAACATCCCCTCTTTGCTCCAAGACAAAGTTCTTTGTCTCCACAACACCTAAGTGCAACCACTCACTCCTTTTCCCCCTCAAATCAATTCATGATTCACCTCGTCTTTCATAGAACCATCCACTGACATGTCCACATACCTAAAATATCAGAATACGATTCACCTCCTCCATACTCTCTCCCTCTAATCTGATATCCAATACTTTCATCACCTTTACTCTTTCCTGTAATTGTACACATTTAATTTTCTTCTTTTTGGCATACCCTACCAAATTCATCCACCAATCTCTGCAACTTCTCTTCAGAATCTTCCCAAGAGCACAGTGTCATCAGCAAGGGGAAGAGCAAACTTGTGACAAAACGTCCGCACTTATGTGGATTCTTTAATCTTTTAACTCCAACGCCTCTTGCCTAAGACCCTCGCATTTCTTCTGCTACAGCCCATTCTATAATATATTAAACAAACGGACATTTCATATTATCACAGCCAATTTTTAGTGATTTGCACCTGCAAAAGTAATGTGACCATGGCCCTCCAAGAAAGCTTCTAGTGCCAACCACAGGAAAAAGGTGAGAATTACTATGGATATGGAATGAAAGAGATCATTGCTAAGTATGAAAGTGGAGTGCTGTGTCTCCGAGCTGGCCAGGGTTGTACAAAAAACCCCAATCAACCATCGCTACTATTTGTGGCCAAGAAAACGCAATCAAGGAAGCTGTTCTTGCCAAAGGTGCAACTATGTTTTTCAAACTGAGATCGCAAGTGATAGATGATGTTGAAACTGTTTATATGGTGTGGATAAATGAAAAACAGAAATAGCAGGAGATAGCATCCTGAGCGAGTCAAATGTGAAAAGGATAGGAAGTTTTCATGAACGATTTAATTAAGAAAAATGCCAGCAACTAGTGGTGATGTGAGTGAAATTTACTGCCAGCCAAAGGTTGGTTGAGAGATTATAGAATCAAGTGGCATACATAGTGTGATAAGGCATGGGTGAGGCCTGCCAGTTTGGGACCAAAAAGCAGCTGAAAAATATGTGCAGGAATTCAAGGAGTATCCTAACATGAAGAATTGAAACCTGAACAAGTTATAATTGTGACACATGAACCAGATGTTGTGAAACATCTTTATGATGACATAAAGGTCAACGGTAGGTACAGGCCTCTATGGACAGATATGCTGTGCGACAGAGGTTCCAGTGACTGCTCAAGCTTGGTCCTAGTGGCATTAAAAGAAGAAGGAAGTAACCACCACGCCCGAAAAAGGACTTGCCACCTCAAGGTCCTAATGGAGGGGGATTCCCCTTATAAACACTATCACCATCAAAACTCCTCCCCTCCTCCCATCCCCCTCAATCATCACCAAGCATCTTCAAATAAAGGTAAGTGTCATGTTAACTGTGCATGTCATCTTCATTTGTGTGATATTAAAATTAATATTTCATGTGGTAAACATTTTTTTTCAATACTTTTGGGTGTCTTGCACTGATTACTTTGATTTCCATTATTTCTTTTAACTCACGACTAACGATAATTTTTGATAAACGATGGAGCTCTCAGGAACGGATTATATCGCTGTCGATGGATCCCTCTGTCTAAACATTCACTACCTCCATACTCCTCCTCATCCAATTTGATTCCAATTTTCTTATCCTAAGACTTTTTTGATACCCGCTCATCACCTTACTCTTTTCTATGTTCACTTTCAACTTTCTACCTTACCACACTCCCAAACACGTCCCACTAACCTTTGCAGTTTTCTTAGAATCCTCCCATAAGCACAAGTAAAATCATCAGCAAAAAGTAACTGTGTCAATTCCCGATTTTTGTATTTGATTCCCTCATAATTTAATTCCACCGCTCTCCTGAACACCCATAGCATTTCAGTGACCCTCGACATTTCGATACTCAATATCCTTCCTGAGAGCTGATGCGAATGTCGAAAATATCGAAAGTTGAAATAATTTTTTCCTTCCCCATAAGAAATAATGAAGATCAAATTAAGTTCTCGTGCAAGACAACGCAAAAAGTAGAAAAAAAAAAAATTTACCACATGAAATATTAAGTTTAATGCAATAGAAATTGCAATAACAACAATAACAAAGATTAATAACAATAGAATAATTGACACTTACCTTTAATAAAGGATCAGGTGATGATTGATGGGATGGGAGGAGGTGAGAGTGTGGATGGTGTTAGTGTTTAA